TTGAATACTACGAAAACATCATACCTATTGAAAGTTAATTAATTTAGATTCAAAGAAAGGAAATAAAGACTAGAATAAAGGTAATAATATTGTTGATATCGACAATGATGACAAATACGATAATAATGATGATTATGAGGATGAAGATGATGAAGATAATGATAATGATAATGATAATGGTAAAGATGAAGATGAAGATAAAGATGATGATGATGATAATGATGGTGATAATGATGATAATGATAATAATAATGGTAAAGATGAAGATAAAGATAAAGATGATGATAATGTTGGTGATAATGATGATAATGATGATGATAATGATAAGGATAATGATAGAGCTAAAACTAAAAACAAAGATGATAACGATGATGATGATGAAGAAGATAATGATGATGATGATGACAATGATAATGATAATGATGATAATGATAATGATAATGATAATGATATAGATGATAACGATGATAATGAAAATGATAGTAATGAGGATGAAGGCGATAATAGCAATAATACAGAAATCTCAATATTAACGACAAGGGATATACAAATCGAGACTAATAATGACCCTAACAAATAACAAAAAAGAAAAGAAAAGAAAAAAATCTGCAAGGGATAAATCCGGGTTAAAACATCTTCAAGAAACTCGAAGAAGAAATTTTTTTTTGAGTTTCTCCCAACATTTTTATATTACCTAGAAATGGGTGAAAATTATCCCATTAAAACTTTCTCCTTACGTCATTATGCAAAGTAGATAGTGACAGATGAAAATTCCTCTACTTTTGGAGGTGGAGTCTCGCCCATCCCGATGTCTCTTGCTTTATTAGTCTTGCGTTGGTTTTTATGAAGTGTTTTTTATTTGTGTATTTATTTATTTGGGGGTGGGGGGGGAGTAGGAGGGGGCGGGTTGGGGAGAAGGTGGGGGTTGGGGTGGGGGTTGGGGTGGGGTTGGGGGGGGGAGGGCGTCAGGGAGTCTTAGCATCTCTCAGTTTGAATGATTTTTTTTTTTTTTTTTGAAAAAAGGGGGAGGGGGGATATTATTTTCGTGTAGTTCGTGTTCGTTGGTGTATTAATCTCACACATACACATACATAGGTATAGACATGCGTATATACATACATACATTCGTATAGATTTATGAATATATGTATATATATGTACACACACAAATACACACACACACACACACACACACACACACACACACACACACAAACACACACACACAAACACACACACACACACACACAAACACACACACAATCTTTCCTTCTGGGGTCTATGTCTCGTGCAATATTCCACCGGTTTAAACATTTAACAGGAGGCGTCACTTCTGTCCCCTGACAACTTTAAATTGAGGAGCAAGACAATGCAAGCCTGCCAGGTTATCCTCAGGGATTTTCAGCCTCGACCTGTTTTCCCCTCGTCTCCTCCCCTCGTTTCTCTTCATCTCTCTTCTCTTACTCTTTCTTTGTTATTTTTTGTTTTCTTTTTTTTATTTATTTTACTTTTTTTTCTATGTTTTTATCTGTCTTATCTCTCCTTTCTTTCTTTTTTTTAATTTTCTCTGCTTCTCTCTCATTTTTTCATTAGTTCTCTTTCACCATTTTCTCTTCTCAAGTTTCATTTCTTTCCTCTCTTTCTTGTCTCTCCTTTTCTCCCTCTTCCCCTCTTTATCTTTATCCTCTCTCTTCCCTCCCTCGACTTTAACATTCCTGTCCACTCTTACTTTATTTCCATTTTATTTTTTTCCACTCATCCTTCCTCCCTCTCTCCATTTCCCCTCTTTCACCTGCCCCTCTTCCCTGTTTTATTCCATTTCTCCTTCTCCCCTCTTTCACCTGTCCCTCTTCCCTGTTTTATTCCATTTCTCCTTCTCCCCTCTTTCACCTGTCCCTCTTCCCTGTTTTATTCCATTTCTCCTTTTCCCCTCTTTCACCTGTCCCTCTTCCCTGTTTTATTCCATTTCTCCTTCTCCCCTCTTTCACCTGTCCCTCTTCCCTGTTTTATTCCATTTCTCCTTCTCCCCTCTTTCACCTGTCCCTCTTCCCTGTTTTATTCCATTTCTCCTTCTCCCCTCTTTCACCTGTCCCTCTTCCCTGTTTTATTCCATTTCTCCTTCTCCCCTCTTTCACCTGTCCCTCTTCCCTGTTTTATTCCATTTCTCCTTCTCCCCTCTTTCACCTGTCCCTCTTCCCTGTTTTATTCCATTTCTCCTTCTCCCCTCTTTCCTCTTCCTCTGCTAATCCCCCCTTCCCTTTGTCTCTTCCCTCATTCTCTCCTCTTATCCCATTTTTCTCCACTTTCCTTCCTTCTCCTCTTTGCTCTTTCCCCTCTCTCCGTTCCCTCTTTCTCTTCTCTCGTCTTTCTCTTCTCCCCTTCCCCTCCCTCTCCTCTTTCTCCTCTCTCTCCTCTTTCTCCTCTCTTTCAATCCTTCCCTTCCCCTCTTCTAGATCTTCCCTCCGTCCCTCTTTCTCTCAACTCCTCTCTTCCCACTCTCCTTTCCCTCTTCTCCTCTCTCCTCTTTTTCCTCTTCACTTTCACTTATTCTCCTCTCTCCTCTTTCTTCTCTTCGCTTTCCCTCCTCTTTTCTCCTCTTTCCCCTCTTCGCTTTCCCTCCTTCTCGTATCCTTCTCAACTTTCCTCTCTCCCATCTTCGCTTTCTCTCTTCTTCTCCTTCCTCCTTCTCCTCTCTCTTCCTTTACCTCTTCGCTCTCCTTCATCTCCTCCTTCTTCTCTCTTCTCTTCGCTCTCTCTCTTCTCTTCCTTTCTATATCCCCTCTTCGTTTTCCCCTCCTTTCTCTTTCCCCTCTTCGCTTTCCCTCTTCTCTTCCTTCCTCTTTCCCTTCTTCGTTTTTCCTCTTCCCCTCCTTCCTCTTTCCCCTCTTCGCTTTCCCTCTTCCCCTCTTCGCTTTCTCTCTTCTCTTCCTTTCTATATCCCCTCTTCGTTTTCCCCTCTTTCCTCTTTCCCCTCTTCGCTTTCCCTCTTCTCTTCATTCCTCTTTCCCTTCTTCGTTTTTCCTCTTCCGCTCCTATCTCTTTCCCCTCTTCGCTTTCCCTCTTCCCCTCCTTCCTCTTTCCCCTCTTCCCCTCTTCGCTTTCCCTCTTCCACTCCCCCAAAAGCAGTGTCAGGAAGAAATGGCAGAGCTGTTGGTGTCTGGCACTCTTTCTCCCTCGGGAACCAGTGCCAAGGACAGCGATACGCGGGAACATTACACCTGTGTCTCCCTTCCCCCCCTCTCTCTCCCCCTCCATTCAAACTCCCCTGTGTCTCCCTCCCCCCCTTTCCCCCCCTCCATTCAAACTCCCCTGTGTCTCCCTCCCCCCCTTTCCCCCCCTCCCTTCAAACTCCCCCTCCCTCTCCCTCTCCCTCTCTCTCTCCCTCTCCCTCCCCCCCCTAACATCACTGTTGTCTCCCTCACCATGTCTACCACTTTTATCATCCTCTCCTCCATCTTCCTCTTCTCGCCGTCACTCTTAACCCCCCCCCCCCTTCTCCACACCCAAATCACCATCATTTCCACCCCTTCGCCCCCCCCTCCCCCCCACCATCATGAACCTTCCTCCATCATCATCATTCATCAATTTCCCCCTCCCCCCCCCTCCCTCCCTCCACCATCACTCCCCCCCCCCCATCTACTCCCTAATCCCTCCCCCACCAACAGTCAAGTAGTGATTGAATGATAATGATGATAATAATATAATCATATGTAATAATGATAATGATAATAATAATGTTGATGATGATAACAACAGCAATAACAATAATAATAACAATAACGCTAAGAATAATGATTATGATAATGATAATGATGGTAATAGAAAAAATAGTAATGATAATAATCATAATAATGGAGATAGTAATATTGATGACGATGATGATAATAATATTGATAATACAAGGAATAATAATAATGATAATGATAACAATGATATGGATGATAATGATAATAATAATAATAATAATAATAATAATAATAATAATAATAATAATAATAATAATAATTAAAGCAATATTAACACACTACTAGTATTACTAATAAGTTAATGATAATAATGATAATGATAATAGAAAAAAACTAGTGACTATAGCTTTGCACGAGTTATGTATCCGTATAAATATCCCCCCTTCCCTACCCCCCCCCCACCACCATTACCGTGTTGTTCCCCCCTTCCTCTCCCTCTCGTTGTATTGCTTTCCCCCCTTGCATTTTCCCCTTACTCTTTTGTCAACCCTCCTTTCTCCTTTATTTTGTCCCCCTCCCCATCCCCTTTACTGTACCCCCCCCCTCCCCATCCCCCTTACTGGATTGTCTCCCACCTCAACCCCCTTATTGCATCGCCCCCCCCCCCCACCTTCCTCCCTACCACAATTATCAGACCATTCCCCTTTACGGCATTCCCCCCCCCCTGCTCTCCCCTCGCTGCATCCCCCCCCCTTTCCCTCCTCCCTTACCGCACTGTCCCCTTCCCCTCCCCTTACTGTATTGTCCCCCCCCTTCCCCTCCCCCCTTCCTGCGTATAGCCCTCCTCCCTTACCGCACTGTCCCCCTCCCCTCCCTTCCCCTTCCCCTTTCCTACGTATACCCCTCTTCCCTCACCGCACTGTCTCCCTCCCCTCCCCTTACTGTATTACCCCCCTCCTTCCCCTCCCCCCTTCCTGCGTATACCCCTCCTTCCTTAACGCATTGCCCCCCCCCCCCCACCCATTTCGTACTCAGCTATGAAGACCCACGAACACACTCGGCCGCGTCCTGACTTTCGACGAAATATACACATCCTCCTTTAGACGAAACAAATAGCTTCTCCTTTCATCTTCATTAACCCCCTTAAGACTACAGCCACCCCTCCCCTCCCCCCCCTTACCCCCCCTTAATTGGACCCTTCTTTTACGCAAACAAGTCTCGATTAATATTCATTCCGGCAACGAATTCCTGAAGGATTTGATTTAATCCTGGGATGATGTCACTCGAGGGAATCACATGGAAGATGTACCATGC